GGGCCGGGCCGAGCCAGGCTCGGGTCAAGTTCAATTTTTCTTTTTGGTTTCTAATTAACACCCCCCCCTCACCCCCACCTCCAAACCCCCCCCCCCAAACACCTAACCCTAACCTAGAAAAGCAAAAAAAAATTGAAAAAACAAAACAAAATTGAGCCGGACTCAGCCTGAACCGCCCGGGCCGGTTCACCAAAAGTTGGGCCTGAGCTCTGCCCGACCTGCCCAAACGGGCTAAAAGCCCGGAACCGGCCAACCGGTCTCGGTCCGGTCCGGGCCCAAACAGTAACGGGTCGGGCTGGTTCCGTCCCGGCCCGGCCCGGTTTAGTCCATCCCTAGTTGAGAAGCATTTCTTAATTACTTGCTCTTGTACAAAATTGTTTAACACTTTCGATTTCACCCAAAAGGGTCATAGGTAGCACCGTAGCAACTAGCAACCCATCTTCAATGTAGAATGTAGATACTCATCATCTCGAGAAAGCGTCCAAGGTTTGAAATTTTTAGGCATATTATGGTTCTAATGTTTTTTCTAGGAAGCCAGGGCCTGGTTTGGGTATTATGGTTCCCAGTCTGGTTCTAGGTACCCGGCTATTCTCGAGTCTTGTCTCGGACCGTTTTTTTTAAGTTAGGATGTTTTTAAGTCTGATTTTTTTAAGTTGGTCTGATCTGGTAAATGACTGGTCTATGTGTATTTTATAAATATGAAAGTCTGGTTTCTTCTGGTTTATTTAAGTCTGGTCTGGGAGTGAAAACAGACCAAGTAAAAACTTTATTTTTTTAAATATCATTTGAAGTATTAATGTAAACAAAAAACTATACACATTGACAATGAAAGGTAAAAGCTAAATAAACTTTTCTATTGTTTCTAATCCATCACTTAAGTCTGTCTAATAAAAATTGTCATATATGTATGCTTATTTTTTGAATGCAATCAATTAATTAATTTTGACTTGCAGTAGCAGTTTTCATATATAATAAAATTAGGTTTATTAATAAATCTTATAAAAATTAACATAATTTTGAAAATAATAATAATAATAATATACTACTACTACTACTACTAATAATAATAATAGCATAAATGTAAATAAAGAAAGTAATGTGAAAATTTTAAAATAAAAAAATAGAAACTTAAAAAATAAGGTGAAAATGTAAAAATATAAAATATTAATTGTAAAAACCTTTTTAAATAGATGTAGGAAATGTAAATAATTTCAAAAATTCTAAGATATTGATTTTGACATTCTGAAATTTTTCAAAAGTTGTCTATGTATTTTCAAATTTTAACAAGTTCTTAGAGTCATTTAATATATAAAAACTGCCATTACATGTCAAAAAATGAATAAATAGTTAAATTGATAAAATTTTGAAAGTAAACATATTTATATGATACATTTTTTAGTCAATGAGTTTAAGTGGTGGATTAAAAATAGTAGAAAGACTTATCTTACTCTTTTGGGTGGTAGAAGACAAAACTTCTATGAAGATTTGAATAAAAAGTCAATGTAAAATAAGTGTGAACTTCTTGGGTACCTAACATAAAATAAATATTGGAGTTCCACCTTATTATTGAGTGTACTTTGCCTATGCATGCTTTAAAAATACTTTTCTTTCAACATTAGTTTTACCGAGTGTAATTTACTTCTCTTGCATACTCTGCACAAAGCTAGCAAGAAGCTCTAAGGATGTTAAGAAGACGGGATACAGAACTATAAATGAAAGTTAAAGGTATCTGCATTTCTTTGCAGAAGTTGGCATCTAAGCTTATTGGTCACAATGTTAATGATTCAACATGAGCATGTAAGGTGTCATTTAGACATTTATTTCCTTTTGTTTCTGTAATAGATTTTAAAAACAAACATTGAATCATAACCATGTCATAAAATTATAAATGGAAGGAAAGGATTAATGAAATCAGAGGGTCATTGAATCATAACCCAAGAAAATAACAATGAGAAGGAAATAAAACTATAAAGTTTAATGGTCGAAAAAGGGCGCAAATTCACTAATAGACATAACTTATATCTCGTTAGTGTTATCAAATTCACAAAGCAAGGCTAATACCACTGCATATTAACATCCTTCAAAAAGACTTTGAAGGAACGTTTGGAACCATGGGAGAATCTGCATATTTGATATACACTTTCGCCTATTTGCAGGGGTTTAGACAAAAATTGAGACAATCTTTAGATTTGAAAGAGAATACTAACCAAGAATGAGAAGTTTGGCTGAGATGGATACTGCGGATGTTTTGAAGTCTTGGAGTCATTGATGCCAGATAAATCCGAAAGGAAATGAAAGAAACTCATTATTTGTCACCATTACAGATAAGCACAAGTGCAAAAGTGCAGATTTAGAAGAAAATGAGCTAGAGCAAAAGAAATGTAAAGAAGAGGTGAATAGGCAGGGGCGGATCCAGGCATCAGAGCTTAGGGTATGCACATGTATATAGTACGTAGCGGTTTAAAAAAATTACGACACTACACTACACCGACAACACGACCCAACTTCATTATTATTACACCACGACTTTTCCTCCCCCGTCTCTTAAAACTTTACCATATTTGAATCTTTTGGTTAATGAATTTAAACTTTGACCTTCTATATATTTTTATTAGAAATTATTTATAATATAAAAATGATTATATTATAAAAGTATATGTACAAAAACATTATACTCCGTACATCAAGATGTATAAACAATACAAAAGATATCTAAATGATGGATTATAGTATTGAAAAATGAAATTAAAAAATTCTAAATGATTCGTATTCACTTTGTGATTCAATAGAGAGAAAAATAGTATGGAGAAAAACACATGCAAATTTGCTAAAAAATAATGATGCAGAGAAAAAAGACGACTCATGTCCAATTACTTAAAAATAGCTTAAAAGGTTGAAATTGGGTTTAGGACAAAGCAAGAGGCCGGGGTGGGAGGCTCAATGCTCTGCTGGACTAAGAGGGATTCAAAATTAAATTTAAATATTTGAGCTTAATTGGGCCTACAATGTAAGAATTAAGGGTGTTAAAAAAATCAAGCGATGCACTTTTAGGGGAATGGAACACGGCACATGCAACACCCAAGAACCTTTTAAACAAATTCTTCTACCACTTAGGCTAATACCAACTTTTGAGATGTAGCATGTGCTAACCCTCAATATACTATAGGTCCGCCCCTGTGAATAGGATGTCGAAACTCGAAAGAATAGATGGAAGATGCTCTTAGAAAGTTAGAAAAAGAAAACCCAACTACGATTATTTAGGTTGTACGTAGATACTTAAATGTCCCTAAGTATGAGTGAGAATGAGACCGAATTGACTTAATATATATAGATTGAAAAATTGTTTTGAAACGTTCTAAATTCACATTAGGAGCTCTGAATATATGTTATTTCCACAACTTTAAGAGTTCTGAATATCAAATCAAAATTACAAAAACATAAAATGAACCAATACATATGAGCTTTCTGCTAAATCAATGATAATTATGATAAAAATATGATAATCACTGAGAAATCATGTCTTGGAATCTTGTATCACGAAAAATCTAACATTTTAGCATCGGATCTAAACATCTTATATCACAATTTTTAGCACTTAAGGAAACCCACTTAACTTAATGAAGTTGGTTTGTTAAAAATACTAAGGGAAAATCTACATTTAAGAAGTTTAGACAACTCAAATGCATTTAGTTCAAGTTTTCAGCGACTATTTTCATATTTCAATATAAAGCAGCAAAAGTTGTATACTCTCATATTCCAGATTCTTCCATAGATAGACATCATAAAGAACTTCAAACAGGGGTGAAAAATTATGGTTAAAAAATGTAGCGCAAGAAGAAAACCAAAAAATAGAAATAGAAGCAAGTTTTATTTTCTTATATCACAAGAAATCACTTAGAAATCATTGATTTTCTACTAAATCATTGATAAATATGATAAATTAAATAAGATAATCACTTAGAAATCATACCAAGGAGTCTTGTATCACGAAAAATCTAACATTTTATCATCAGATCTAAACATCTTATATCACAATTTTTAGCATTTAAGGAAACTCAATAAACTAAAAGAACTTGGTCTGTTTGAAATACTAAAGAAAATCTACACTTAAGAAATTTAGATAACTAAAATGCATTTAGTTCAAGTTTCAGCTACTATTTTACAGATTTCATTGATTTATAGCCTACAGAAAATCAAATTATGATCCAAAAATAGCACGAAGAACTACGAAACATAGAGAACTTAAATCTACATGAATCGAATACTGCATTGACATATAAGAAGTCAATGAAATTAATTGAATCGATATCACAAATCCCTAGAAGAGTCCCAAGTAAAACCAGAATATTTACTTGATGTAACACAAAGGTTATTAGTGTTGTATTTGAATTAGATTACTAAGTTAATTTGGTAACCTAATTTTAGAGCAGAGACAAGCACTTGAAATGTTTAAATAAGATTTGGAGAATAAATGTTTTGTTTCAATCATACCTTTAGAAATGGAAGACTAGTTGAATTCATTAAAGACAAATGCTAAGGGGTTGAAGAGTCCGAGATGGTTTGCCAATGCAAAACTTCTCTTTATTTGCACAAAGAAGGGAGCGACTGAGGTGCTGCATCCATGATGGTGACGTGCGGCTAAAGAAGAGGAGAACTAGAGAAGGGAATATCATAGGATAGTAAGTTGTGGTTGTGCATTTGAAGAAGATGAGAAAAACACTATGAGGCTAATAGAGATCGAGTGATATTAGAGAATGCAAAAAATGTTTAGCAGCGAGAGTTACACAAATGTGCGCAAATGTGGAAGTTACGGAAATGCCCCAATAGTAGGCGGGAGATCGACTTAACTCAATTAATTATGTATAGACAGATAAATAGATTACGTGAATATGAATATCGACCCATATAAAAGTGGGCCAGGCCCGTTGGCCCACATGAGTCTGGTGCCAGCGAACAAAGAACAACACAGTAATAATCCAGCATGTCAGTCCCTCATTGCTCGGTAAACTGTGGTAAGACGTCATACTTTGCAATTTGGCATCGTCACTCAGTCTGGCGCTGACTCGGAAGTCTTCTCTCCCAAAAACAGAAAGCGATTAAGAAAAAAAATGGCCGTTTAGTCGCATATACTCGTATGTCGTATCCCAGAAGGTAGAAGCCCAAACCTTCATTTCCAATTTCAAACGACCAGGCTTCCTCCAAGGCTCCAATCCTCCGCCCGTCAGCCGCTAGGTCAGATTTTCAGTTTCTCTCGCAGCCAATCAGCCACGCTCCCCCGGTTCCAGACGGCCAGACGGCCACTCGCCCAGTGACCCAGACCTCCAGGCTCCGGTGCTCCACAGGACCACAGCTCCACTGCGACGTCGCTGCGCGCCTGCGCTCTCGCCACTCAGCTCAGCACTCCGTAATTTTCTGAATTGGTTTTCTACTTTTCTGTTTGTACCAATTGCACTCCGTAATTATTGATTATTGATATGGTTCTTGCAAATTTCAATCTTACCCATTTCTTGATATATGATACACCAAAAAGGGACAAACAAAATGAATGGGCAATCTATCACTCTGGTCTTTGGCAATTGTCAGAACTGCAGCGGTACTAGTGCATTACTGAAGTGGTCTTTGGCATTTAATTTAGTATTCATTTTTTGACAGTGGTTTTTGGTGAATTAATTTGTGATGGTTAGCATTGGGTATGATTATTGTGATAATTTTAATTTTAACTTAATAAAGGCTAGATCCCCCATTGCCTATTCATTTCTCAAGTTTCAATTCGTCATTCTATATTTTTTTAATTGGCTGGATGACAACTTTTTTGCTTCAGGAATGGCTAGAAAACTAGGATTGGCCATTGTTATAGCATTGACTATCGCGTCTATATGCGAAGCTTCGATCTTCAGGCCGATCTCTGACTCTCATCGATCCGCTGCACTGGAGCTCTTTACTCTCTCTGATGGATCTTTTGGGAGGTTAGTTAAATTAAACTTCACATTTCTTTTTCTCAATGAGTGGCATAATCATTAGACTACTTAGTTTAGATGCTAAAGTTCAGCTTCCATTTCAAATGTAGCTGCCTATTGTGTTCTAAACCACTGCATCTTATTATTATCTTAATTAAAAGGGGAGACTTTCACATATTATTTCTTCGCAGTTTTATGCACATGATTAACGAACTCTAGTGTAAACTTTGCTTTTGGCTCTTCAGCTTAGAAGACACTTATGAGGCTTTGAGAACGTTTGAGGTCCTTAAAATTGACAAAAAGTTTGACATAATGGCTTCCACGTGCAAATCAATCGGTGACACCCTCTTGTCTCCTTCTTCGGATTTGAAGGATTTATTTCAAGCATTCAGGGTTAATGGTATATTGAAGTGTGACCTGAACGGTGATGCTATAGCAGTAAGTTCTAAGCTTGATACTGAAGTTCAGATTCTTTCTAGTTTTTTAATACTTGATGTTTAATATGTATCCTAATTATTATCTTTTTTTCACTGTATTTCCTCAAAGAGCACTGCCTCAAGACTGAAAGAGGCTTTACATAGTGCTAAATCACTTCTTGATTTCTACTATTCAATAGGCGGTTTAGTGCTTATCAAGGTAATGAATAACTGCTATGCTCTATTTTTTGAAATGATGATATTCTGAAGCAACAAAAGAAGAAATAGAATCAAGAAAATGGAACTGAGTTTGGTCCTATCTGCCTTTATTTTCTGATTTTCTCCATATCATTTATTCAAATTGTAGGATCAGGCTTCTGAAGTTGATGTTCATCTTAAGGATGCTAAAGGAGTTTTTCATTCTATCAAGGTTATATTCAATGTCTGTTGCTTATATTCAACACATTTAATTGGCGTTACAGTCAATGAAGTTGTTCGGTATTTGTAGGCTCTCAGCCAAAGTGATGGAAGGTGGCGTTATAGTTCCAGTATTCCTGACATTAGTTCTTATGCATCAGGTAATTCAGTGCTTTCTGCTGTTCTATTTTCCGATAGACAACTTTAAATCAGAAAATGTTACACTATGCTACTAAAATCAATATTTTTCATTGTGATTTGCGTATTGTTGAATTTGTTATTCCTAATTTATTTGGATGTGATTCATTTGTCATTTACCCGATGTAAATATTGTTTGCAGGAATAGCGCTTGAGACCCTAGCTGGTGTTGTTTCTCTAGAATCTTCTGAGATTGGGCATTCTCTTGTGAGTTGAATAACACATGTAGACTCCTCATAATTTTGCTGTTTGGTGGCTATTTTTTTGGATTCATATTCTGATCTAATTAATATGCTCTTTTGACAGATTGATTTGTTGGTAAATGATATATCAAATCTTTTTGATGGCATTGAGAAATATGGTATGCAATTTTCATGAATTTTTACTATTAAAATATTGAACGCAGGTTGATAATGCTTCATAATATATTTTCAATTCTCATTCTATATCATTGCAGTCCACTTCATTCTATTCTTTTACTATTGGTTTAGGTGTTTCTATATAACCGTTTGGGAATTCATTTATCAGACTGTCTGTTGCTTAATTTGTTTTCCTTCTTAGATTCTTATTGAGTACGGGGTTTCTAATAGTATAACCTGAGAGGTTTTATTATACTTATCAATATGCTTAGCTGCTTGGATTGGTCCTTTCACTTAATTGCAGCATGAAACATCTATGTAGTGCAAGAACATCATTCTTACAAAGTCGTCATTGTTTTCTTACTGACAGATGACGGGACCTATCATTTTGATGAGAAACTTGTTGATGCAAATGGACATCACGGTCCTCTTTCAGCTTCGTCATCAATAGTCCATGGTATCACAGCTTTAGCAGCAGCAACACATGAAAGTTTAAATGTATGAATCTGCAGTGAAAACAGTCCTGCTCACTAGCTCTATGTGTGTGTTTGCTGATTCATTGTTATGGTTACAGATTCCTGGGGAAAAGATTTTAGGTTTGGCCAAGTTTTTCCTTGGTGTTGGGATCCCAGGAAATGGAAAGGATCTGTATTTCCAGATTGATGCACTTGCGTGCTTGGAAGAGAACAGGTATATCATAGAAAACTCTACTTTCCTCGGAAAGAATATGTATTTCCATTTTGGTTTATCCATTCTCATGGCTTATCTTGCATATTTAATTACTGACCAAATGGATCTTATTATCTATCTTTTTATTCTGTTAACATGTGAGGTGTATGTTCTAGGGTTTATATTCCTTTGATTCTGTCACTACCAATGACTGTGCTGTCAAGGAATAGAAAAGACCAGCTAAAGGTGGGCCATTTAGTATATACTCGCAGCCTTCCGGTGTTGTATACATAAATATTTTCAAATAGCTCAAACAAACGCTCCTTTCTTTTTTTAAAAATATTTTTTCTATCTATAATCATTGTGTTGCCTGGTAATTTTGAGAGGCGTGGACTTCCAAAGTATCATATGAATTTAACTATCTATGCTTGCACGAGCACATCTCTATGTACTAGGGGTGGTTGAGAAAGCGATTTATATTTCAATTAATTGACTTCATTGATTTGTGCTAATTAGGTGCATGTAAACACTGTTTTGGGATCTTCTGCGCCTCCTCTGTCAGTAAGACTCAAGCAGTTTTTTGTCTCAGGCTCAAAGGATGCATCTTTGGTTGATCAGGTACTAAGTGCCTATAGTGTTTAATATCCATGGCCACATACAAGGCCCTTTCATTTACTTTTCCCGAAGTAGTTTTTGTGATAATGGTGACTTTTGTTTTTTTGATTTATACACATTGTATACATTATTTTTTCTGAGTGCTGCAGGAACTCAAGTTTGATCCTAAAAATGCAGTACATTTCTTGGATGCTCTGCCAGAAAACATTGATGTTGGGAATTACATTTTCATTTTTGATGTATGATTCTTCCTTTGCTCTTGAGTTATTCTTTGCTCACATTTTAATCTTTCCCTGTTAACTATGGTTTTCTTTCGTTTTGCTCGTCCTTGCTGTGCAGATTGTTCTTCATGATCCAGATCATAAGAAAATCTATGCTACAGGTGGAAGAAGCAAAGTGAGCATATATGTCACAGGAGTCATCACGGCTGACCATGCAGAAATTGCTGTTCTTGACAGCGATCTTGAGAATGTGGAAACTAAAAAAATGTATTGTGATTTATTCCTCCCCTATATTACTTTGGTTAGTCCACATTTGTTTTCCACCATTGTCTGCATACAATGTTGTGTGTATGCATTTTAAAGTTTTACTAATTGATTAGATTTTTTTTTTTGTGTGTAATGAATTTCTATCTATTCCCTTTTGACCCAATGCTTCTTTTACCATTAATTAGATACGGAGTATTTATTACGCCCTCCTTCCCACTTAAAGGTTCTCCACAGTTTACGATGTCTGGCTGACCATAAAGTTAACTGATCTTAGTCAATAATAAGATTATTTTTAGTAAGTAATATTTACATATTCAGAAGCTACATTAAAAGTTGTCTTAACAACAACATCCAAGCCTTAGTCCCAAAAGATTTTGGGGTAAAAGTTTTCTAAAGTCGCAAAAAAGATCAAGTTTGATAAAAGTTTGATATATTAAGTAAAAGATTAAGAACAATTTACGTTAACGGGAGAATAGTGGACAGAACCTTTAAATGGGAGAGGTAGTAGATATTGATTTGGGCATGTGTGTCAATCCTAATGGAAGTATCTAGGAGTAATTGTTATGAGGCCTTTTACTTAATTGGTCACGGCACAGTCAATGTATGGTATAAGTTTGCCTCACTTGAACGTATTCATAAATCACTGAATTGAGTGAATTCAGGTTGAATTTCGCTGAGGAGAATTCTGTCTCTCTATCAGCAAACCACCTTCAGAAGCTTCGGTTGGCTTTTCAGTTAACCACTCCTCTTGGACATGCCTTTAAACCACATCAGGTCGGAAGCTTTATTTTTACTTGTATATTAGATTTTTTCAAAGGTTGCATTAGGCATCTATGTGCTTCAAATTACCGTTTACACTCCTCCATGCAGGCATTCCTCAAGTTGGGACACAAGAGTGGAGTCGAACATATCTTTGTGGTTGGGAACTCTGGAACCCATTTTGAGATAATACTAGTTAAGTTCCTAAAACCATTTATTCATGAATCTTGATCTGTTTTTAAAGGGACTCTTTCGATGTAAGGGCATGCTTGGACGGCTTAGTCTTTATTTTAATAAATAAAGTTTCTCTAAAGATGAAGCAAAAGAGTGATTAAAATGTCAAATGACTACCCATTGCATTAATTTCAACATTTTTGTAAGTATTAAATATATAATTATATATCAAGATATAGACAAACATCTATTCAAACAGACCCTTCTGCAGAGCTTCTTGTTAGTATCTACAGACATGACATTATCGTGTTGTTATTTCTCTCTCTAAAATATCCTTGTATAGCTAGCAAGTTATGCTTACCACAGTTTGAGGTTAAACATAAATAAACTGCATGCATTTTCACCCATTCCCCATCTTCAGAAGGGTTTCACTCAGATTTATTAATCCCTTAATGGAACCCTGTGTTGTTTAGGATTTTCTTGGACTTGTCGAGAAGCTTTTCTATCTATCAGGCAGATATGATATTCAACTCACTGTTGGTGATGCTGTTATGGTAAACATGCTTTGGTTAAATGTTAATACTCTCTCCATCTGCACTGCACCCACCATGATATGGTTCCAGGATCACTTCAGTACAATAAGAAACAGTCGTGCTAATCATTGTGCTGTATATTTGTGGCTGTGCTTCAGGAAAACTCTTTCATGCAATCACTGGGATTTGTTGAACTAGATCTGCCTGAGCCTCCGGAGAATGCGCCCCGTCCTCCTTTGCAGCCCATTGATACTTCCTCAAGATATGGGCCCAAAGCGGAAATAGCTCACATTTTCAGGATTCCAGAAAAACAGCCCCCTAGGGAGCTTTCTCTGGCATTTTCAGCATTCATCCTTTTGCCGTTCCTTGGATTTCTTATTGGGGTTAGTATTCATTGCATATATATTTGTAAAGCGTGCACGGTTTTTCTTTGGTTCCATTTGTAATAATGAAAATGCATGGGTAAGAAAATAGAGAGAAAAGTTTGAAGGAAAAAATATGTGGGAAAAAAATGTTTCAAACTACAAAAATCCATTTTTGCTATTTTTTTCAAACTCTTCATTTAAATATTTTCTAATATTTAAAGACTAATAAATTTATTCCATCATTTGCAATGGAGCCAAAGACTCACTATTTTTTGGCTTGGGATTATGATGGAATAAAGCAAATGGGCTCATTAAACTGTCTGCGCTTCTTTGTTATGAAGCAACAGTCAGTTCATGCAATTTTTGACGCGATTTTCACTATGGGTCATCCGGAAACAGTCTCTCTGTGCTTTAGTACAAGGGTAAGACTGCGTACATCTTACCCCACTGTAGGTGGGAGCCGCAACTGGGTAATGATAATGATGATGATTTAAAGACTAATAAATTAAAAGTGAAGTTTTAATTTTTAATCAAATTTGATTTCCATTTGTATTTTCCAAGTTAAAACTGGAGATGAAAAACCATTCACCTTTCCATTTTCCAGAGTTGTGAATTCTGCCTTAGAATATTTATATTAATAAGTCCTCTCAAATTAAGCTTGGAGTCGAGGTGAAGGTGGCGGATGCTTTAAAGCTCAATTAAGCTATTGTAAAATTCCTTGTTTTGCTTTTCCTGGCAACAAATGTAGCTTTGGCCATTAAAGAAAGCTAGGACTATGGTCTCAAACCAAGACCAATCTATTATCTTTGCTTATTTTTGTGTTGACAGCTTTTACGGTTGGGGGTGAATTTGAAGAGCTTCCCAACTGCTACCATACCTGCTATATTTGCCGCTCTTTTCCATGCTGGCATCGCAGCTATTCTTACACTCTATCTACTCTTCTGGTTGAAGGTCTACTCTTTGGACTCTTATTAATGCTACAAAAACCATGTTTTTACTTTTTACTCTATTATTTGGCTGAAAAAGGACTGAATCTGAAAGAAAGTGTTTGAAAGCATTAATTTCATCCTATTAAGTCAAAAGCTACATAGAGCATGCTTTGTTCGGGTTATTTGGCTTCATGTGTTGAATTTTCTGAAATGAGAAGGTTTGGTAACATATCCATATTAGCTAAATAAGTAGGGCAAAAGCTACTTATTGCTTATTTTGTCCATAAGCAGAATGAAATTTATATGGCATCCAAACAGGATCTAATTCTGATTTTCCAGTTTATTATTCTGTGAATCTGTGCGTAAAAATTTAAGTTCTATCCTCCCCCGCCCCCCGCAACAACAAATTGTGTTAAAGTTGGTTTCATCTGTTTGTGTTTGTAGTTGAATTTGTTCACCACATTGAAAGCTCTGGGGATCCTTGCAATCTTCTTGATGTTTGTTGGACACTCAACCCTCGCTCACTTAGCTTCAACATCAGCCAAGCTGAAATCCGCTTGACCCCCAGCCCATGAGACTCTTGGTCTTGGGCTGTATTCTTGGTTAATTTTGTACGACATATAACTAAGACGGCGATAAAGTTCCACACAATTAGTATAATTCAGAAAAGTTATTCTGTTTAGTCCATTTTACGTGACCCTCTTTTGTTGCTGAACTTTACAACTTGTGCCATTAGTGTAACTTGTGCTGGTTGTTCAAGGCCTGAGATTTTTGGGGTTCAAGTGAATTCTATGTTCAATAGATGTCTACTTAGTACTTATGAGCTTTTAAGCTCGAATGGTAAGAGTTTGTGCCGTCAGACCTGTACTGCATTTTTATACGAAGTACTTGTTTTTATCAATCTATCAGGAATAAACTGGTGTGTAAATAGATAAATATGCAAAGATCTTTCTGATAGGAAATTCAATTTCGTTTCACACCAGGATTTGAGTGTATTTGCATTCCTCTTAGAGTCGGTCTAGAGAGTCTATTTTTTGACACTAGTTAATTACTCCGTAGAACCTAATTAAAATAAGTGAATCTTTAGCACAAGATAATGAATAGAAGTTTATAATGTGTACAACTAGATTATTTCCGCTACTTCTAAATTCTAATACACAAGGCCACAATATGGAGAAATTATTTCTGTAGAAAAATATAATATTGGACGCAATCTTTTAAAATTCTTTAAATATTAGCGTAAAATATTTGAAACATGCGAAAACTACAAAAGGCTAGATAGTTAGATGGTGGAATGGTGGATCATGGATTCATGGATGTGTAGGATGTTACTACTGGTATAGTGGTATACCTAGTACTGTTGTCACTCTATAAAATAAATACGGAGTAGGAAGTTTGCTAAAAGCATTAAATAGGACGATTTAAAACAAAAAACATGACAGCTACAATAAAAACATAAATTAGTAAAATCCATTTGATGTTTTGCCCCCCAGAGAACGAATGTGGATAGAGGTTGACATGCAACGGTGAAACAAATTTTAAAAGAATGTGGTGGATAGAGGTTGACATGCAACGGTCAAACAAATTTTAAGTATCTACTTAAAATACTCTAATTCTTCACTTTCGATTTGAAACAATATAATTAAAGAATTTAACTTAAAATTAAATCTCTAATCCTTCAATATTTCAAAAATCTTTGGATCTTCGAATCTTCGTTCTTGAGATCTTCTAATCTTCAAATCTTTGTTCTTCGGATCTTCAAATCTTCTTGAATGAAGAATTCATTTTGAAGGACATCCGGTTCTCAAGTAGCTTGATCTTCAACAAAAGGACCATTTTGTGGCTTGATCTTCTGTTAAAGGGCTTCCCGGGATATATGGCTTGATCTTCAATTGAATTTTGATTCAATCTTCATATGAATATCTTCAAATCTTCAAAGATTTGTTTTTCATATCTTCGAATCTTCAAAGTCTTGTTCTTCAGATCTTCGAATTTTCAAGTTTCGTTCTACAGATCTTCTAACGTTCTTTAACGTTTGGATTTATTCTATCAAGAATGGATGAAATCACGAAGGATTATTCGTATATTCTTAATAAAATTCGTGGGTTGATCTCTTTCTCTTCTTTGGAATCGTTTAGAGCTTCTCGGGAGTTCTTGAATTGAGAGTTTTTCTGTAGCATTTCTTCAACTGAAAGTTCTCTCCCCTTTCTCTCAACTGAGACCCCTATTTATAGGTGTGGAGGGGTGAAAATATGCTTTAGAGTTTAGCAAATTCATCCACACCCCTTAGGCATTGTAATAGCTAGAAAAATCAACACTTATGCAATGCATCTGGATTCTGGACAACTTTTTTAACAACGTTCATAGCTATTTTTCATGCATATGGAAGGATTTCTTGACCAAATTCGTTGCTCTTTTTATCAACTTATTCATGTCTCTTATATATTGAGTCACTATTTAATAATGAGCTCAAAATAGATAAATTAATAGGACCGGGCCATTCTCTTAAAAAGTTGATTTATAATTAAATTAATTGGATATTTTAAATGATCCAGATTAATTTAATCACTAAATTTCTTTTCAAAGGATCCATATATTATCTTCCTTTTATTAAGGTCCAACAAACATCATGAGCGGCCCAATAGAATCAGCGTTGACCAGTAGCATTCAAAATTCAAATGAGGCCCAATCTGATTGAGATTAGTCCGATAGATTTTAAAGAGTTTATATATACTATGGAATATCATTAATTTAAAAATCCAAAATATCAAATAAATTTCGATAACCACAACTACATTCATACCTTACCTAGATAAACCAATGTTGATTGGATTTCTATTTTTAACCAATTTAAAATAAAAAAATTTAAAAAGTAAAAATACTTTTTTAACCAAGGCTTGGGAGTCCAGCCCGCATTTTTCCTATAAATACTTCCCCTGGAGGTAGTTGTAGGGGTTGATAAATTCATTAATACAGAGCAATTATATTACTTCTCTCTCTAGCTCTCACTTCTCTCTAGACTTATAGTCTATCAATGTGTATATGCAAATAAATAAATAAATTAGTATATATATAAATATATATATTTATATATACTAAATGTAGCGGGCCGGGCTTATCGGCCCGAACGGGTCTACACCCTAACCCAAGCCCGCCCATATCTTATTGCGGGCCGGGCTCGGGCCGGGCCGATGGGTAAATATATATGCCCAAGTCCGCCCATTTGTGCGGGTGGGCCGGGCGGACCGGGCGGGCCAGCCCTGTTTTGTCCAGGTCTAGAGGAAGATGATAAGGAGTACGTAGTACTACGTACTTACTCCCTCCGTCCCACAATGAACTTCACAGTTTGACCTACACACATATTAAGGAAATAAACTTATCATGGGGCAAGTTTTAATGTTTTGACACTGTTTCGACACTGTTTGACACCATTTTGCACTGTTTCGACACTGTTTTGCACTGTTTGGCACTGTTTTGCATTGTTTGACACTGTTTTGATGTAGATTAATTTGCCATTTAAAGAAATGAAAACTTGTTTATGGGACATCTAAAAAAGGAAAGTGAGAAGTTCATTGCGGGACGGAGGGAGTATTATTTTTCTAAAAGATACTTGCTCCGTTCTTTATTAATTGTCTCGCATTCCTTTTTGGGACGTTTTTTATTATTTGTCTCTCTTTCTATTTTAGGAAAGTTTTTGATAAAATACCCTCACTTTTATTACTTTTACTCCTCTTATTTTTCACAAACTAATTTCTCTTTCTTACTTTATCATAACTTTACTCTACTTAATATACTCTGTTTCCTACTTTATCACCACTTTATTCTTTTTAATATACTCTCTTTTCTACTTTATCATTTTCCCCACACATTCTACATTTACCTTACTATTTTCCTATTAAAACCCGTGCCCAAGACTATGGGGAAATATAATAAAGAACCGAAGGAAGGAGTATAGGCAAAACAATTTTTTCTAAGATTTTCTTTATGATAGGAGAAAATGCCATCGACGGTTAACTACCTAAATCCATCGCTTTGAAAATGCCCGTATTTTATCCGCCTGGAACTCTGGAAGTATGGACGAGACGGCATCGACGAGCAGAAAACGCCAACGCGATCCTGAATCCGGAAGCTCCGATCTTCTTGGTTTGTACTCGTGTCTTTATCTTTCGGCCTCTTTGATTCTTCTCATCCTTAACCAAGTGTTTCTCGTTATTTCGAATTCTGATATACAGAGGATAGTTTGGCATTAACTGATACTTTTGTGGCTGTTCGCATGATGTCTGCTCAGTTCCCGTGCATCGAAAAGGTCCTTAGTGTTTCCCCCCTTTTTAGTTTATATATTTAGATGTGCTGTTTCTATATTAAGAGACAGGATTGCAGATTTATGCTTTTCTAGTCTTTATCCTCATTTTCTAAGTAAGATGATGATTTGGATTTACTCACTAGATTAAAATTTAAATTTTGTTTCGATTGATGATTTGAGTTTTTTATCTTTATAATATGATGTTTTCCTTCCAGGTTTCTATTCGGCCTTTTGTATTGCAATCACAGTTGTATAGCAGTATAAAAGATAGGACACAAGTAGATAAGGAATTGGAGGTACAGTCACTACCACTTAGCTCTTCAAATGCAGTGGAGAAGTTGTTGAGCACAAAAGTTCATAACTTTAGCCTAATATGCTCTATTTCAAGTTATGCAATTTATGGATTTCTGGTGGGGTAAATGAGTTGAGCTTGAACAAGCTTGAGCTAGACTCATGGAAGCGGCTTGACCTTAGTTCACTGATCTTATTATTAGTAAAATCTCATTTTATATTTTTATTGAGCTCGGATCAACTCATTTGATCAATCTAGCTTTGAAACCCTTTTGTATCTAACTGCTATTTGGCTCAGCTCCTTTACTGCGGGAGTGACATTTTTTTTGTTATTTCTTCTAGAGCAGTCTCTGAAGAGGGAGAAAATGGTACGCATTTTAAAGTTGAATACTGGGCGAGATGATCATGCTATTATGCTCTTAGAGGACTACTTAAGTCAGGTCAGTGGATGACTTCTTAGTTGTTGGTTATTTTGAACATACCATTCGTAATTTCATTGAAAGGTGAGTGTATCAACAACCATCTTGGCATGTTGACCTTGTTTGAGCATTGTTGTTTGTGGCATTCTATGGAGACAATTTTCATGTACCAGAATAGTAGTTATAGTGTCCTTTGTTACCTTCATATTAAATAAAAATATTGCTATTTCATTTTAGATTGAGCATGTCATTAAGATAATGGAAGAAAAGAAGAAAGAAAAACTTACTGTTTTTGAATGGTTCAAAGCACACATCATTTCTTCAAAGCTGGATCCTTGTATAGGGCATCATGAACTTGTAAGTTATATTGTTTCTGCTGACAATCTAATTAAGTGCGCATATAGTGCTAATGTATATATGTGCGAACATATCAAACTATCACATGTGGCTCCATTGTATGTGGTTGTGTACTATGTTCTTGAGTTTCTGATTTTTTTTCAATTCTATAACTAGCTGTGAAAAGTTTTTTTGGTTGATTGATATAATATGATGGTTATATGTGTGGGCTTAAAGGTGCTCCTTATTAATGAATATTCTATGGTAAGTTTGTAACCTATCCAACCAAATATATATGCCGATTCATAATTTACTTTGATTACAATCAACTAACATTCCGTTGGTTCCTTTTATAATGCACCTTCCTATCCTAATTGATATAAAATCATAAATTATCTTAGAAAATATTGTGTTCTTTGGGCTGATGTTAATGCAGTTTTCCATTAATTATGCCCCTTTCCTGTTTCAACCATGTTATTCAAGGTTTTTATTTTATAATTTAATTTATTTATTACCTTGATGCTTCAGTTTATTCTTGTTCAAATTAAAATTCAGAGGAAAGACTGAAAGAGAGAGGATAGCCATCAGGCTCAAAAAATAAATTTCTTAGATTCTAGAATATCTGAGTATGTTATAATTTCTTTTTGATATGCATGCCTTATCTTTTGTTATTGATATGAAAATTGCGAACCTCTTATATGTTGATATGTTGGCTTCCTTGTAGTGCTCTCTTCTCTCACTTGGAGGCAAAGTCGAAGAGGAACATGTCTCTCTCTTGATTAATGCAGGCCTTCTTGTAAGTGATGGGAATTATATATTCATTTGAAGTGAAGTTCTCTTCATTAAATTCCGTTCCGCTGTCTTATTCTACTCATCAGAACACACATTCTTGATCCCGAAACCATGGGGTCGTCCTCATAAATTCATAGTCTGTCTGTATTGTGCATGCCTCATAGTGTTTGAAGAATGAAGACTAATGTCATCTCTGATTCTGCTAATTTCTAAGACTCGCCAACCTATTGATCCAAACATGTACTGGTTTGCAATTCCAAGTGTTGGACCAGTGCTCAAGGGTCTTTCACAGGTTTGATTTCATGACTTTTCTTTTTTAATAGTTTCTAATCTATTAGCCCGTTTGTAACTCCTAAATTTAGCTTATCAGCCAGCGTTATGACCAAACATGTTAATTTTGATTTTGCGCGCTGAATGCTGAATTGTACAGTAATAAAAATAAGTAAGGTTGGAGTTACTTTTCTGGCCGAATTGATTGAAGTTACTCTAAAGTACCATTTAGCTAATTTTTCATCTAGTTTTTTCTTTACTTTATTAATGAAATACTACATATATTTTAAATACTCCATCCGTATTTTAAAGATTGCTACATTAGATTTGACACATTATTAATCTACAGTAGGGATAATGAATAATGTAGAAAAAGTTGAAGAGATGGTGTAAAAGTATGAAAGAGAAGATAAAAAGTAGAAAAAGTAAGGGTAATTGAGTATTTTTTAAAGGGAAAACATACCAAAAGGGGAAATGTCGCAAACTTTAAAATACATCCCAAAAAAGAAAATGTTGCAAACTTTAAAATATGGAGAGAGTATAATTTTTCATAATTCAGCGGATTCAGCCAATTCAACCGCTTCAGCCATAGTTTCATCAACTTCAGTAGATTCATCCGATTCAACCAATTTCACTGTTACCAAACGAGTTCTATATTTGTTTTAACATTTGATATGTGAGACAACCTTGATTCCAACATAATCTTTATGAACTGACTTTACGGTTAATATCAGGGAAGAAATGAGCTTTTATCTTTACTCAACCGCCGAAAATTCAAAGAGATGATGATGGCCACCCTGGAAAAGAAGCGCCTTCGATTTTCTCTCTTAGATATGAGATTTCATCTCCGTGATTTGATAGGATCTGGTCATCTCACAACTGTTGAGACCCCTAGTGGCTTAATTGTGAGAGTCTCTAAAGATTGAAATTCCGGTAAGAGAATCTTGCTTCACATGTAATTCCTGCAAAGTTGAACACAAATTTACTTATAAGCTCACAATTTCCCCCCTCTTATTTCAAGATTAGTGGACCTAATTGAAAGGATGCTGTATTCATATTTTTCATAACTTCACATTTTTTTTTTCTGGTTTCAAGATCAGTGGACTTGATGGAAAAGATGCTTTTTATGCATTCTGTTTCTCATCGCTCATAAAAAATTTCAGTGTTATCCTTAATTATTATGTAATGACATGTGTTTAAGTTCCTCTTTAGGTTTTATTGTCTGATTGTTCTGATTGAGTAGTGACACAGCCTTTTCATTACACATGAGTATGGTAAATTATGGCCAGTGTTAGATCTCTGCATCTCTTCTTTTGTGTTTGGTTGGCAAACTACCAGGTTCATTTTCTGCAATATAACACTAACGGGGTGTATTGTATTAGGAATTAGTGGCAAAATTTTAAAAGTCCATGGATTTTAAAAGTTTAGGTGTATTCAATGTGGACTTTTAAAAGTCTACAAAAGTCTAGGTGTATTCAATGTAGACTTTTAAAAGTCTATAAAAGTCTAGGCATATTCAAAGTTCCGTTCATTCTTATGGATTTCTAAAATCATGGATTCTCGTGGACTTTTAACTCATTTTTAGTACATTAACGGGGGTGTATTGTATTAGGAATTAGTGCCAAAATTTTAAAAGTCCATGGATTTTAAAAGTTTAGGTGTATTCAATGTGGACTTTTAAAAGTCTACAAAAGTCTAGGTGTATTAAATGTAGTCTTTTAAAAGTCTATAAAAGTCTAGGCATATTCAAAGTTCCGTTCATTCTTATGGATTTCTAAAATCATGGATTCTCGTGGACTTTTAACTCATTTTTAGTACATTAATTCTCTTCGATTGTCTCTTCTCCTCACTAAAGATTTCCGTGGACTTTTCTTATATCGGTTCTTCATCCCGTCCCCCACCCCACCCCGCCAACTCTCATCTTCTCTAGCCAAGTCACCTCTTCCCCTTCGATCTTTCTTCTTCTTCAGCCTAACTCGCTCCACCCCTCCTTCCATTCTTTTTCTTCGTCAACTTGCCCCACCCCCTCGATTCGTTAATCCCATACTCGTTCGATTCTAGAAGTTTCTAGAAGAACTGGTATACGAATTGATAATATTACATTAGTGCAATTCTGGCACGTCGTCACTTAACCATTAAGAAAATAAATATTTTAACTATTACTTTCTTTCATCGTTAAATCGCTAACACATAAAAATATAATTTCAAATTAATAAATATATAACCGTAAATAAGTAAACAAAATTTTACAAGATAGAAATGAAAAGAAAACAATTATTAAGAAGATAAACTCGATTGCAACTGTGCTTGTACCACATGTAGCAATGAGTGTAACGGTTGTGTAACGATTAATGTTCTTATTCATTAATAAAATGACCAAAATTCTTGAGCATTCTTGAAACTTTGAGTTTTCTTAATAAAAATAAATTTGGATTCTTATGCTTCATTTATTCTTGTAGAACTTTGTGTTGCTATATGAATTACATTTGTTTTATTTATTTATTTATTTATTTATTTATTTATTTATTTATTTATTTATTTGTTTGTTTGTTTGTTTGTTTGTTTGTTTGTCTATTTGTTTCTTATCACACTCTGTATTATACAGAGGAAATTATTCAGGGTAGGACTAAAACATACGGAGTAGCATTTTCAAGTATGATCCTATGTTTGATTTTCCTTAAATAGGACTAAATATTACATATTCACCCCTAATTTAATTAATTAATATAAGTAATTGTCCATAATTTCTTTGCATAACCAAATCAACTTTGTTGGTGGCGGATCAGTCCGATAACGACAGCGGCGAACTCAAGTGACGGAGGCGGACGGGCAGATCGGTAGCGTCGGTCTAGGTGAAAATTTCGACGACCAGCAGTGGTGGTTCGCATTTAAAAGTATATGGACTTTTTGAAAGTCAATAAAAACTTTTTAAAACTTATCCATGGATTTAAAAGTCCATAGAATTCATTCATAAAAAAGTATGGATTTAAAAGTCCATTGACTTTTTTAAAAGTCCACGGATTAAAAAAAATCCACCACAATCCATATTCAATACATCCCCCTAAACCTTCAATGACAGTATCATGGATTTTGTAGATGCTGGGTTTACTAAGTTTTTAGGTGATTATAAGCCCACCCCATTTTGACTTAAAAAACATCATAATTTATTATCCTTTTGGGCCAAACTCATTCCTATTATAGTAGAAGAAATCATACTGTGATTCTGGGTTTTGAAGCCTGTTGCTTTTCATGGATAACCACCCACTTTTCTTAACCTTGTTCACCACCTGAATGACACTAAAGAGGAGTTAACATTGGTACTTTAATACTTTTACCCTTGCATCAAAATTGCATCTTTCACAGAGTAGGGCAGAAATGTAATTCTGCCTAGAAAATGTCATCAAGTGGATGGAGACCTGGCATTTTCCACCGTGAGTATCTTATTCTCGTGTGTGGGTAGTGAGCTGGCAACTTCTAGTGATAGATATGGGCATCAATTAGGTTATAGCATAGGTTTCAGTAGGAAGCAAGGGATCTTGAGAAAGGGATATTGAATAAAATTATGTGTAAGAAGGGGAATATGCCCACTTTAACCTCAGGTGTCTTGATTGATCTGAGCTGTGAATGTGGAGGAAGAGCATCCTTTTGTGATAACTTATGGATAGGATTAAACAAGAAAAGTGTGCCATGACTTTCCCCAGGTACTGTAGTGCCTCTGGCCTTTTTGGATGGAGGCCCCTCTTTTGTTATGTTTTATGTTGAAATGATCCGAGTTACGATGTGTGTCATGTGTCATCGTCACAGCTTGATTCAATTCCGTGTTAATCCAGTACATAATTCCATTTTTTGTGAGCAAAGCAATTGGCAATTCATATTTCTTTTGTTTTCATCTCCCAGTTCTTTTAATACTTATATTATCAGAAGAGCATAATCTGTATTCTGTAACAATCGGTTTGTTTCACGCTGAAGAGTCATGGCAACGATTGTAATAGTAGCCCAATACTTCCATATTACATGTGGAAAGTACATCAAAGGTGGATTCGGGCCGGGTCAGGCCTAGGCCCAAGCGGGCTGGCGGGTCTGAATAGGTGGACCCGGGACCGGCCCAGGTAGCCACCGGGTCCGGTCCGGGCCCGGGTAGCCACCGGGTCCGGTCCGGGCCTCGGGCTTGGTTAATTTTTTTTTGCTTACCTACCTATCCCTGACCCCCCTCACCCCACCCCCAAACCCCTCCTAAACATCAAGCCCAACCCAAACCGAGCCCAAACAAATGATAAAAACAAAAAAAAATCAATTTGGCCTGAACCGGGCCCGGGCTTGGCCGGGCCGGGCCTTGTTTGGGGTGACCCAAGCTCGGACCGGAAGCCTCTAGGGTCAGGCCTACCCGGACCGGTCACTGACCTGGCCATCGGTTTGGGCCAGGTTGGAACAGTATCGGTCCCGGGCCGGTTCCGGATCGGGCCACCCGGCCCGAGTCCACCACTACCAGTGGGCGTAGCTCAACTGGTAGCAAAGGAGTGTCACAAGGGTTAGTCCCGGGTTTGAATCTCTACAACTGGGATGAGGAGTTACTATGCTAAAAATGCATAGGGCCTCTGCAAGTATTGGAGACACGACTCTACTCTCTATCTGTCAGATTGGGATTATAGTCCAATTTACATCCTCCCAACGTACCGTCCGATCGGGGTTGGGGGCTCACAGGGATGGGCCGATGGGGTGTCATCCTTTTACAAGGGTGGAAAGTACATCAAATCAGAACAGACTCATCAGTCTATTGATCTTCGATTCAAATAAAAACATCCTAAATAAGTGTTGCATGGAGGAATATTAAAAATTACCCTGAACGAGAGTGAAACGATGTATTCTTTCAAACAATTTTGCTATAGGTACCCCAACATCACCCCATTTTGTACCTCATATAAAAGCCTCTTTTTTACCATCCCTTTTGCCTTCTTTCCAAAAACCCTCCCCCCTCCCCCACTTTTCTTCTCCTTCCCTCGCTCTCTCCTCCATCTTTTCTTTTCATGGAGGCCCCATTCCCTCTCCTTTCTTTCCCTTTCTTTCCCTTTTCTCCAAATCTTGATTTCTTCTCCATTTCAAAATCTCTCCCCATCAAATCTTCTCATTTTTACAATCTTTTCTCCCTCCAAGCTTCTTCTTCTGCTTCTCTCCTCTTCTGCCTTTTTTGTCGTTTCAAATGGAAGAGCTACAGTAATCGGACGAAGGGGAGAGCTCGGTGACGTGGGGAGGCAATGACGAAAGTGCAGATCAAGAAGCTTTGAATGACTTGTGCAGATCTACTTTTCTTGATTTTTTTCTTAATTTTTTGGCGTGTTTTCGAAAAAAGGATTGTCTTCCCTGACCGTGTGGAGGTTAAAGAACATGCTGAGTTGGATCTTTGGTGCATACAAGGTCTATCACTGTTGGGCTGACTGAGTCACATGACTTACATTCTCCCAAATGCCTTATCGGGTCGGGGTGTGAGGGGCCCTTGGGATTGGGATTTCAACCTTTGGAACATATTCATTCAAATATTCCATTATTATATTACCTTCGTCTCATTGAACTTTGTCAATTTTATGTTAGGTGTAATTAAAATAAAAAGTAAAAACTACCATCTCTTTCCCATTGAAAGGTTCTTATCAACTATTCTCCGGTCAACTTGATCGAAGTGATTTTAATGTTTTACTTTACCTATCTAATTTTTATCAAATTTAATTTTTCTTTTCGCAACATTATAAAACTTTTAACGTAGTTTATGAATTGAATATGCAAATTTTATTTACTAAAACAATCTTATTGATGACAGAGATCGATCAACTTTATGGTTATACAAACATCTTAAACCGCGTAGGAACCTTAAGCGGGAAAGAGGGAGTACGAGTTTGGGTTTTGTGTAAATAGTAGATAAATAAGCAGAATCACATATTCATTACTTTCAAAAGGAATGTGACAACGTTTTTGAGACGAAAAAAAAAAAAAAGTTTAGCTCGGCTACCCTAAACACCGCCACCGGAATCTTTAAAACCAAACACCAACATTGACCTTCAAAGAAATAAGAGGATAATATAGCTTTTCAGAGATAACCACCGGCCGGTAATGAAAAATTAAGAAACATACGACGCGCGCAGCCGGAGAGAGAGGAGGCTTGCTGGCGGCTGGTGGTTGTTCCCGTCATCGTTATTGACAACAGTTTAACAGTAGAATAGGA